TTGCCTGGAGAGGAAATTATAGAAGCCAGTCTAGGAGGAGGAAGGGGAAATAGTGTTTGTAGCATAGGAAATAGCATGTATGCAAGCCTCAAGCTGAGGTGAAGCAAGCCAGCCACATCTGAGGATCTGGAAGATTCAGTGTGACTGACAGTTGTGGAAATGATGGGTAAGGGGGCTCCCTGACCCCAAACTCACCACATAGTTACTGTTCACTCATGACGGTCAGTCTCTGCTGGCCACTGAGCACACATTAGCCTAAGCTTAAAACTGGGAGAAACAGGCAGGCTGGTAAACACAGCTCATTGTTAAATAATCTAGAGAGATGTGCCAGACAAGGGAACCCTATTAAGATAGATAGGGATGGTAACAGGAGGGTGTTGTTGGAACAGAGGCATGTGAAATAAAAGAACAAGGCTTTGGTTAAAACAGCCCTAGCTTCAGGTCTTTCGAATAGTACTGTAAGAGCCACAGTAAATAACAGTCTAAGTAAAATAGGGCATCCATGAGGTGGCATGTGACGTGCTCTTAGGAGCTGGGGGGAGCTCAGTTGTACGGTGCTTGGATGACCCTAGCTGTGGCCTCCAGCAGCACCACAAAAAACCAAAGTTCTTATCTTGGAATCTCACTTAGGAAGTCTCTGCAGATTTTGTTAACCCACCTTGCCTTGGGCTAGGGGTGTAGCTTAGATAGTTCCCTACTCCTTCAAGGCCCTGGGTGTGATGGCAATTTCTGTATAAAGCTGCTGGGGGCGGGGTGGAGACGGGATGATCAGAAGCTCCAGAAAGGTCATCCTCTCTTAGATAGCAAGTTTGAGGCCAACCTGGGCTACAGGAGATCCTGTCATAAGGGAAAGTACCTTGCCTTTTCCGTGCCAGCAATTCATAGCCTGCTGTGACCTCTCAGTTCCCAGAAGTATGATGTGCGTGTTCCTTATCGTGTTTTTTCTTATTGATGATGCGTTTGAAACTACTTTTCATAGATCCTTTGTGATTGTGCCCTACTTGCTATTATCTCATGACAGCTGCTGCTTGGAGCTTAATTTATTTTTATACAAAATGTATATATAACATTTATCGTGTTTTAAAATGTTATTTTAGAAAGCAGAATTTGAGCCAATCATGGTAGAAGGATTGCTTTTTAGCCAGCCTGGGCTTTAGGACTTGCCTCAAAAACAAAGATACCACAACAAAGCCAACCAGACTTAATTTTTAGGAACAGCCAAGAAAAGGTGAACAAAGAATATTGCTGGGCCTGGAGGGATGGCTCAGCAGTTCAGAGCACTGACTGCTCTTCCAGAGGACTCGGTTCAGTTCCCAGAGCCCACATGGCAGCTCACAACCATCTGTAACTCTAGTTCCAGGGGATCTAACACCCTCGCACAGATATACATGCAGGCAAAAACACCAATGCACAGAAAATAAATCTTTTTTTTTTTTAGTGTATTTGCAGTTGATAATGTCATTAAAACAGAGCAGGTACTGATTATGGCTTACAATGTTTATAGTTACTTACTGCTTATAGTTACAAACTATAAACTTATTTAAAAAATTTTAATTTTATTTTTAATTTATGAGTGTATTTCCTGCATGTATGTTTCCTTTTATTGTCTGTTGAGACAGGGTCTTACTACGCAGGCCTAGCTGGCCTGGAACTCAGTGGGTGGCCTCGAACTAAAAGATCTGATTGCCTCTGCCTTGACTAAAGGTAGACACCACCATGCCTGGCCTTTTCTCTTTTAACAAAAACGTGGATGTTCTGCCTGCATGTGTGCCTGTGGAGACCAGAAGAGAGCCTCAGATGCCCTGGGACTGGAGTTTTCACATGGTTGTGAATGGGTGTTGGGAATTGAACTCAGGTCCTCTGGAAGAGCTGCCAGTGTTCTTAACCCACTGAGTCATCCCTTTAGCCTGTGGTTAAGATTTCTTAACCTTTTGCTTCCTTATATATTTTTGGTGCTGTGGGGGGAAAGGAGCTAATGTCGTACTTAAGAGGAGAAAAAAATTAAAATCATTCAAATAGGAGGTTTTTCAATGACTAACAATAGTTTACACCTAGAGAGTAAGCATGAATTTGTTTTCTGAGACAGGCATGGTGGTACATTTCTTTAATCGCAGCACTCAGCACACTAGGGCCAGGTTAGAGACCAAAAAAAAAAAAAAAAAGCTGGCTAGCATGAATATGGAGAGATGTTCAACATCATTAATCAGTGAGAGATGAAAACCAAAACACAGTAAGAGACCACCTTGTTATTACTGTAGCTTAAGTTCTAATGTTCTGGTAGGAATGATTATGATTTGTGTTGCCAAGCTGGGAAGTGGTAGTGCACACCTTTAATCCCAGCACTTGGGAGGCAGAGGCAGGAGGGTTTCTGAGTTTGAGGCCAGCCTGGTCTACAGAGCTAGTTCCAAGAAGCCAGAGCTACACGGAGAAACCCTGTTGTGAAGAAGGAAAAAAAAAAATCAGTGTTGCTACAGTACCCAGGGTGTCAACAGAACAGCCAAGTGATCTAGTGTTCCCTTGTGGAACACATAACAAGAGTGAAAAGCGCGTTTTGTTTTGTTCTTTCAAGACAGGGTTTTGTTTTGTTTTGTTTTTTGTTTTTTTAAAGATTTATTTACTTCTTATTTGTACAGTGTTCTGCCTGCATGTATACCTGCAGGCCAGAAGAGGGCGCCATATCTCATTATAGATGGTTGTGAGCTACCATGTGGTTGCTAGGAATTGAATTTAGGACCTGTTGGAAAAGCAGCCAGTGCTCTTAACCTCTGAGTCATCTCTCCAGCCCAAGACAGGGTTTCTATGTAGTCTTGGCTGTCCTGGAACTTACTATGTAGACCAGGCTAGCTTCAAACTCTAGAATCCACCTTTGAGGCCCATGCCTGGCCAAAGCAGGTCTTAAAGAGGTAGTTGTGAATTCATGTTTAAAACAGAGCTATTCACAGCAGTCAGGAGGCTAAAGCGACCCAAGTGTTGACCAGCAGATGGAGGGATAAACAGTGTGGGGTGTACATTCCAGGGAGTGTTACCCAGATTGAAACCGTGAAAATCCTGACATGAGCTAGGTGTGGATGGATTGGGCTCCTTGTGCCAAATGGAGTAAAGACACACTGATTTTCCTGTGGAAGTGTCTAGAGTAGTAGTCACTAAGAGGAACAGTAGTTGCTAGGGCTCGTGGAGGAAAGGAGGAAAAGGACAGTTATTTAACAGATACAAAAAACCTCTGAGCCATCTCTCCAGCTCCGTGACTAAAGTTTTTAAGACTGGAGAGATGGGTTGGTGTTTAAGAGCTCTTTCCAGCAACTGGTTTAATTCCCAGCACCCACATGGAGCTCACAACCATCTGTAACTCCAGTCCCAGGAATCCAGTACCCTCTTCTGCCATCCTGGGATACCAGGCAAACACGTGGCATACAGACACACATGGAAGCAAAACACCCATGCTCATATAAAAAAAAATTGAAACAGCTGTTTGAAAAGCAGGGACGGGGCTGGAGAGATGGCTCAGAGGTTAAGAGCACTGACTGCTCTTCCAGAGGTCCTGAGTTCAATTCCCAGCAACCACATGGTGGCTCACAGCCATCTATAATGAGATCTGGTGCCCTCTTCTGGCCTGCAGGCATACATGCTGATACATAATAAATTAAAAAAAAAAAAAGCAGGGACAACTAGGTACCCGCTTTTTAGCATCATTGACATTCAGCTGAAGTTTCAGCCTCCCTCTCTCTCTCTTTCTCTCCCTCCCTCCCTCCCTCCCTCCCCTCTCTCTCTCTCTCTCTCTCTCTCTCTCTCTCTCTCTCTATATATATATATATATATATATATATATTCATCCTTTCTCAAATCAGAAATGGTTTTTTCTTGTTCTTTCCCCCTTCTTTTTCCCTTCCCCCATCTCTCTCCTCTCTTTCCTCTATTTTTGAGATAGGGTCTCCCCACCCCCACCCCCACCCCCACACACAGAGTTTCTCTGTGTAGCTTTTGGAGCCTATCGAGGAACTCACTTTGTAAACCAGGCTGGCCTCAAACTCACAGAGATCCGCCTGGCTCCCCCCCCCCCCCAAGTTCCGGGATTAAAGGCGTGCGCCACCACTGCCCAGCAAGATAGGGTCTTGCCGGGCGGTGGTGGCGCACGCCTTTAATCCCAGCACTCGGGAGGCAGAGGCAGGCGGATCTTTGTGAGTTCGAGGCCAGCCTGGTCTAGAGAGCGAGATCCAGGAAAGGCACAAAGCTGCACAGAGAAACCCTGTCTCGAAAAACCTAAAAAAAAAAAAAAAAGATAGGGTCTTGACTGTGTAGCCTGGTTAGCCTGGAACTCTGTGTAGACCTACTTAAAAGCACAGGCTAGTTTGTGTTGGGTGGTGCTAAGGCTAGTGCCAAGACCTCATGCATACCAGATAAAGTCACTCTAGTCCTGCATGTAACCATAAAGACCTAAATCCTATCTGAATCTTTTACCAGTCTTTATTTAGAACGAGAAGGAGACAGAGACAGAGACATGGAGACTGAGACAGTCTCATTGTGTATCCCTGGCTGGCTCCAGAAAACTACTTCTTGAGTTCTGGGATTAAAGTTGAGCACCATCACCTGGTGATGATGATCAGAGGCAGGTGAGAATCTCTGAGTTCGAGGCCAGCCTGGTCTACAGAGCAAGTTCCAGGACAGCCAAACATACACAGAGAAACACTGTCTCAAAAACAAAACAAAAAAGTCAAGCACCAACATGCCCTGCCCGTTAGTTTTATTAGCCTGTTAGTAAATTATCTTTATGAAGCTATGCATACAATTAGAGACTCTACCCTGGATTGGAGAAAGATCTCCTGTTGATAGGAAGACTCAAGTATCTATAAACATAGTCTGGCATTTCTGAATTTTAAAACGTCAAAGAATGCTCTAAACTGTAGGCACTGGTTTTCTTCCGTAGGGCAACTAACTGACCAAGCGTCATATGGCTGCAGTAGTTGCTAATTCTGTAGCATTTTAACCGGCTCTTTTCCTTTCAGTTGATTATGGAAGATTCCCACAAGAGTAACACTTCAGAGACTGCACCTCAGCCTGGTTCAACAGTTCAGGGAACTCACATTTCTCAGATAGCCCATCAGGTAAGTCAAGAACTAGCCAGAGTACTGGGCTGATCAGTAGTGTTCACAAATTAACCTGTTGTCTTAACTACCAATGTTCAGAAAACCCAGCACAGAGAGACTTTGAAATTATGCCCTTAAGGAGGGGGAGGGAGGGAGGGACTGAAACACCTTAGGAAAGGAAGACCTTTTTTCCCCCCATTTTTTGGGGAAAGTTGCAGACTGACCTGAAATTTACTATATAGACCAGGCTGGCCTCGAACTCACACAGATCTGCCTGCCTTCTCCCTGTGTTAGAATTAAAGGTGTGAACCACTCTGCCTAGCAGGTCCTGGAATTCTTGATCATCCTCTTCTAGCCTAGTACCAGAGTACTAACATTAGGGTCCTAGAATAATAGGCATATGCCCAGCTTGGATCATCATTTTACCAAGTTCATTATGGATGTATTGAAATGTTTTTTTTTTTTTTTCATGATAAGCGTATTCATTAGAGAATTTAGTTTAATTGACTAGAAATGTCAATTTAGGAGTTGTAAATATAAATTTTAATATAAATTAAAGTCATGGGGCAATTTCTGATTTCTGCCTAGGGCATAGAAAGCTGAAAAGAGTGTGGCAGTGGTGGCACACACCTTTGATCCCAGTACTGGGAAGCACACACCTTTAATCCCAGGAAATGAGGACAGGGTGGAGAAAGGTATATAAGGCCTGAGGGAACAGGAACTAAAGCAGTTCAGCTGAGACCCTTTTGGGTGAGGACTCAGAGCATTTCAGTCAGAGGATTCGTGGAGTTGGTGAGGTAATTAATAGGTGGTGGCTGTGGCTTGCTCTGCTTCTCTGATTTTTCAGCTTTCACCCTAATATCTGGCCCCAGGTTTTTATATAAGACCATTAGAAATTCGAACAACAAAGAGTAAGTTCCATAGTCTACAGGCAACTGGCTTTTGAGACCCACAGAAGTCATACTTGGAGGGAAAGAAAAGTCAACTGCCTTTTTTTTTTTTTTCCTTTTGGTTTTTCGAGACAGAGTTTCTCTGTGTAGCTTTGGCTGTCCTCGAACTCACTCTGTAGACCAGGCTGGCCTTGAACTCACAGAGATCCTCCTGCCTCTGCCTCCCACATGCTGGGATTAAAGGGGTGCCAGGCAAGTCAACTACATTTTAAGACAAGGTCTCACATAGCTTAGGCTAGTCTCAAATTCACTGTATAGTGAAGGGTGGCCTTGATCTTTCTACCTCTGCCTTAGGAGCACCTGCTTGGATTACAGGTGTATGTTATTCCTTTTATCTTTTTGGGTGGTCAGAATGCACATGCCATAACACCTATTATTTGGGGTAGATAGCATGTATGAACAGCAGAGGAGTTGCAGAAGAGGGAGTTGGATGTTACATAGGACTGCTAGAGATAAAACTAGCATAGTACGTGGTGTTAGGACTTACTAGATTTGACACGGTTGAAGAAGGACCCAGTGAACTTGAAGACAGACTAGTAGAAAGCACCCAAATGGAAAACGGAAAGAAAAGGAGAAAAACAGACTAGAGCGTCCAGGAACTGTGGGGCAGGGTCTGTTGAAGTAGTTGTGCTGTCAGTGAGGCTGCCGAGGTGTGAGTCTAGTCGGGGGAGGTCGCTGGATGTGACTTTTGGGTTCACTTCAGAGTAAACGTCCTTTCTGCCTTCTAGTCGGTGTGTTGGTGCTACTGATAAAGACGCTGACCTGTCTTCTGGGTCCAGGGAGGCCGTGGGGCACCCCAGGGTGGAAGTAGATGTCAGAATACAGGAATGAGGTAGAATGTGTTTACTGCCAGTCAGTGGTAATGAACTGGATATTAAGTAAGGTGTCCTGATGTTTCCTTGTCTGTTGTTACATTTCAAGACAGGGTTTCTCTGTGTAGTCCTGGCATTCCCTTTGTAGACTAGGCTGGCCTCGAACTCAGAGATCCACCTGCCTCTGCTTCCTGAGCACTGGGATTAAAGGCGTGCACCACCCCCACCCCCACCCCCAGTGGTATCTTGAATCTTAAAACCAGGTTATATATTAATCAGTGGATGTGCTGAGAAGATCCCACATTTCCCTAGGAGTAGTGGTTCATTGTGTGTGATAACTTTATAACTACTGCAGACAGGAATAGTCTGTGTTTAGCAGCAGCTTCACAGAAAGCCTTGACAAGAGCTATTTCATTGGATGCAGGGATGAAAATCAAATTTGAACCAAGAAGGCATAGGAAGAGAAGAAAAATGAATAGAAATTCTAGAATGAATAAACAGCTCCCTCAAGTTTATTTTTAAAGATAAGTTTTAGTGTATGTGTGCATACCTTTGAATTCATGTACACTGTGCATGCATGTGCCCAAGGAGGCCAGAGGATGTTGGATCCCCTGGAACAGTAGTTACAGGTGATTGTGAGCCACCATGTAGGTGCTAGAAACTGAGCCTAAATCTTCTCAAGAGCAGTGAGTACTTGTAGTCTCTGTCCCATCTCTCTAGCCCTGAGAAGTTATTTTGTTTCTTTTGGTTTTTCAAGACATGGTCTCTCTGTGTAGCTCTGGCTGTTCTGGAACTCGCCCTGTAGACCAGGCTGACCTCAACTCAGAGTTGGAGTTTCTGGTTTTTAAGGAGGAATTCAGAGATGCTTTCTTTGTTTTTTGTGTGGTTTTGGTCAGGGTCTCACTGTGTAGCTCTTGCTGTCCTATGATCTGGCATACAGACAGCTGGCCTCAGTCTGCCTCCGAGTGCTGGATCAAAGGCAAATGCCACCATGCCTGGCTCAGTTTTTTACGTGAAGATTTCAGGTGAACGTAAAGTAGAGGGTCTCATTGTGGCCTTTTCTTCCACGTGTGTTATGATGCTTCATTCTCGTGTGTTCCCCTCCGCTGCTGTCCCCATGCCATGCCCCCACCTCTGGCTGGTTCCCTTCCTCCCCCACTTAGTCTCCTCTCTAGCTTTCTTACCCCTCTCTATAATTTGCTTAAGATCTCTCCCTGCCCTCTTGTGGTCTCTATTCTAGACACCCCCGCCCCCACTCTTTCTGTCTCTGTCTCATTTTCAGTGTGTGTGTGTGTGTGTGTCTGTCTCTCTGTCTCTTAATGTAGTCTCTGCATATGGGAGAAAACACACTTTTCTGAATCTAATATTTTTGCTTGTATGATTTCTAGTTTCACCCATTTTCCTGTAAAGGTCATGCCTTCATTTTCTTTATGGCTGAATAAAATTTTATTGTGTGTATATACGTGTACTACATTTTCTTCATTCTCTGCTGATGGGCATGTAGGCTGGTCCAGCCTTCTGCTTACTGTGAACAGTGAGTGCAGCAGTAATGTGCATGCAGTGTGTTGACCGAGAGTCCTTCCAATATACAGCCAGGAATAGAATGGCTGGGTCATATGGTAGTTTTATTTTTAGTTTTTTGAGAAACCTCCATACTGGCTGCACCCCTTTTTATATCGCGTAAGTGTTAGATGTTCTGTTATGTGAATAACGTCATCGACATTGAGATAGGAATGTCACTGACCTCCAGGTTGCTCTTGTAGTATGGCATTCACACCTTGTTGGTTCTGCTGACCCATGGCAGGAAATGCTCTCTCCATCTCTTAAAGCTTACATTATAATCTTTAGTTAGGTTATTTCTGGGCCTTTTATGTATTTATCATTTGAAGCTATTGTGAAATGGGTGGTTTCTTTCTCTGCATGTTAGTTACTAGTGTATAGAACAGTTACTGATTTTTGTGTTAGTTTTGTGTCCTGTTGCAGAAAGTGTGCCAGATCGAAGTTTTTGGGTGGAGTTGTTAAGGTCTTCAAGAATAGGATCAGGCTGGCCGGTGGGCTCAGCCAGTAAAAGTACTTCCCATTCAAGCCTGATGATCTGGATTTGATGGAAAAAGATAAGTAAATGTGGGTAGGTTGTGAGCTGCAGTGTGGGTGCTGGGAACTGATCTGAGGCTTCTACAAGAACATTCTGTGCTCAGACTGCAGGGTGATTTTCCAGCCCCTGCTGCCTCCCTCCTCCTGGTTGGTCGCCTATGACTTCTGCTGCTGCTGCAAGGATTTTATGTGGCTGTAGGCCAGAGGTGAAAAGTGGGGTATCTTTTTTTTTTTGGTTTTTCGAGACAGGGTTTCTCTGTGTAGCTTTGCGCCTTTTCCTGATACTCACTTGGTAGCCCAGGCTGGCCTCTTCACAGAGATCCACCTGGCTCTGCCTCCCGAGTGCTGGGATTAAAGACCTGCGCCGCCGCCACCCAGCCGAGTGGGGTATCTTAATTGCCCTCTACCTTATTTGAGACAGGGTTTCTGATTAAACCTGGAACTCATTTGTATATACTGGCTGTCTAGACAGGGATCCTGACTCCACTTTCCTTCCCATCAGTGGAATTACAGGCACATGCCAGCACACCCAGCTTTCTTAGACGGTGCTAGGGTCAAACTCAGGGCCAAAGCAAGAGCAGTGCCGCTCCAGTGCTGAGCCGTCTCTGCAGCCCCCGCTTTTTTCTTTGTCTATTCCTCGTTCATGTTGCTGGCTTGTTAATCAATCCAGTTCCTGAATTGATTTTTTTTTTTTACTTCATTCATCTGCTTTTTTTGTATCCCCTTTGAAACCATCATTTTAACGATTTTAGTATCATTAAATTTGGTAATTGAGGGGTTACAGTTCCATGCTTTCATGTTTTTCTTACCTGTGTTGTGATTTGCTCATCTGGTTATGGATATCTCTTCCAGTTTTATTTGAGATCTTTTAAAATACTTAAGCATACATATATGCATGCACATTGGCCCTGGAATCTTTGAAGGTTTTTATTTACTTATGTGTATATGTGTGTGTATGTTAGTATAGGTGCCCTCAGAGGTCCGGAGGGTGTTGCATCCCCTGGACCTGCAGTTACAGGTGGTTAGGAGATGCCTAAAGTGGGTGCTGGCAACCAAACTTGGGTCATCTCCAATAACAGCTCGTATTTTAAACCTTTGAGCCATCAGTCTGTTTACCTACACATTTTGATCTTTTTAATAAATATCCTTTGGAGGGCTCAAT